ATTTCTCCATATTCTCCAAATTAAATAGCTAGAAGCTGCTTTTACCTTTGGTTGCCATCAGTTGATTTGTGACGATGAAGTTACGCTTTCCAAGCTCATTCTTGAAGTACCTCTTCTCTAAAGGCAGCTCGTAAATTGCTTTGATAATCACCCACTCAGAAGACTCGAGCTCGAACTGGTTGATTGCAACTGAACAAAGCACACATTAGAAACACGAGATAAAAAAAAAGAATAAAGAGACATAAAATAAAAGTATTTCAGCCAAGGCCGGACTTACTATACTCGTGGTATTGGGTCGGCATGGTTATCTCTGGGACCGTATCTTCTTCCACTATTTGCCATGACCCTTAACCCAGAACCAAGAGGACCTGCAGTACCATCCCTTATACTCACTCCCCCCGCTAGAGGCTCGAAGTTGGAAAGGGGTTTGGTAAATGTGGGGAGACATGTCCTAGCTAGGAGTGACCTCCTTCCAGAGAAGGAAGGCCCTTGCTAATAAGCTCCATGCATTGGGCACTAGTTGGGTAGGGGCTAGGTTGTAGTGCCTAAGGATGTACCTAAAAAAGGGGTACAGAGGCAGTTTTATCCCCCTACTCAGAATCGCCTCGCTCACCACGACGCATCCCTCGGTGGGGAAACATGCCCTTTTTTCAGGGGTCAGAACAAACATTTCAACAGTATCAAGGATCTTATATCTCTCCCTAAAAGTATCTAGCTCGCTCTCTTTTATATCATTCGCCCAAAAAGAGGCCCCCACCTAATGCTATAATTGATGGGGCCTTTATGCATCAACCACGTACTATGAGGGGCCCCTCATGGCCTCTATAATCCTCTCAGTAGGAATTATGGGAGGCAAACCCGCCTCGATACAGATCAGTGCCATATCTACACCCCTAGGGACCTGTCTGATGTATTTTTCTTTGAAGAAGAGTCCATTTCACTAGATTAAAGGAGGATATGCAAAGAAAAAATTTTGGGTACTTACGCAAACTTTAGGCACCTGAAAGTGGAGAAAAGGAAGATGGTTGCTGGAAAAGAAGCTGAGGAGGTGTTGGAGGATATCAGGAAATTTTTTTACGACATGAAAGGTTTTTAATTTTCTCAAAGTAAAGAAGATAGAGAAGGTGGGGATTAGGCCTTACATATGCAGGAAAGTCGAACCCCTACCGTTGGATCAACATTCACTACAATCTTAGCTGTACATTTGCAGTCCCATCCAATACGTTAAACCCAAAAGGCACCTGTTCAATATTCAAATCAAAGGCTCACATGAAGTTGTATCCTGCATGCGCCCCAAACTCAAGTGATCTGCACCAACTGTAATAGACCACCATCATTGCGCATTAAATACGCAAACAATGTGAACTTTGGAAACCGTCATAACACCCAACTGTTTTACCCAGGGAACTAACATTTCCTTCAAATCATTAGAAGCACACTGCCCATTGTGCTTCAACTTCAACAAAGCGGCTCACCCTTTACAACAAGGGCACCACCTCATGTAATTTAGCCTTATCACAGGCTTTAACTTCATCAAAGTGGCTCGCCTTTTACAACAAGGGCATCACCTCGATGATTTAGCCTCGTCACGGGCGAGCTTCATCGAGGCGGCTCGCCCTTCACAACAAGGGCCTCGCCTCATGTAATTTAGCCCTATCACAGATTTCAACTTTATTGAAATGGCTCACCCTTTACAACAAGGGCACCGCCTCATTAGATCTAGCCTTTTTGCAAGCGATGACCTTGGTCTTCAAACTCGAGTTGTTGTTACGACCATGTCATTTTGCTTCTTCAACCCTGAAAGTCCATGCATTATATGAACAATCATATCGGACTTCAAGGACTGTTGTTACGCTTCTCTACATGAGGACTCCCACGTTGTCTCAACCATCCTATGTCGCAAACGGTTCAACAATTTCATACCCTATACACTAAGATGAGGCGAAGATGGACCGACCCTCAAGTACAGACGACCCATTTTCCCTCGCAAAGCGAAGCTGGATCGACCTCACGTGGACCCTATGGGAAGAGCCAGTCCAGGATAATACAGTGAAGAGATCTTAAATAAATCTTGTATTATGTGATTGACAAGACAACTCGTTGTCACCGTCGCCTGCCTATTTGGTCAAATCCAAGTCCGCAAGCTAGACCTTATGGATACGAAAATAGTATTAAGGTTGTAACTTATTGATGTCTATGACAAGAAAGGCCAGTCATTTTGATGAGGCTTTATGTGACTAACGGTTTGTCTAAATGTGTAGGAACCGAACTTGCGTAGACATGGGAGATCTTGGGATCTGTTGGCCAAATCATTGGTATATTTTTTGAGGTCAATAGATATCACAGGCTTCAACTTCATCAAGGCGGCTTGCCCTTCACAACAAGGGCCTCACCTCATGTATTTTAGCTTTATCACAGGTTTCAACTTTATTGAAACGGCTCGCCCTTACAGCAAGGGCACTGCCTCATTAGATCTAGTCTTTTGTAAGCGATGCCCTTGTTCTTCAAACTCGAGTTGTTGTTACGACCACGTCCTTTTACTTCTTCAAACTCGAAAGTCCACGCGTTATCTGAATAATCATACCTGGACTTCAGGGACTATTGTTACGCCTCTCAACACGAGGACTCCCACGTGGTCTCAACCATCCTACGTGGAAAACGGTTTGACGGTCCCACGCCCTGTATACTAACATGAGGCGAAGTCGGACCAACCTTCAAGTGCAGACAACCTCATTTTCTCCCAAAAACTGAACCTAGATCGACCCCATTACACGCGGACCCCATGGAAAAAGCTAGTCCAGGATGAGAGGATGAAGAGATCTTAAACAAATATTGTATTATGTGATTGACAAGACAACTTGTCCGTCGTCACCGCCAACCTACTTGGTCAAGTCCAAAGCCGCAAGCTAGACCTTATATATACGAAAATGGTATTGAGGCTGTGACTGATTGATGTCTATGACAAGAAATGTTAGTCATTTCGATGAAGTCACGTGCATGTCATCCAACGGCCTTCGTTAAATCTTGCCTAGGTATACAAGCTCACACTTAGTGTCATCCAAGAGTAATGCAAGTTTAGACTCTCAAATCTATAATCTTTCTACCATATCTTTTACTTGTTCTTTCAAAGTCGGCCTCCCTTTTTTATATTAGCAGTTCATGTTTAAAGCTCTCTTATACTCATATACTTATTTCTCGAACTAATTTGATCGTCGGAGTGCCTGTGGCCAACTCTATCCCCTTCGAGAGAAAATCACGTGTGACTAACGGTTTGTCTAAGTGTGCAGGAACCGAGCTTGCGTGGACGTGAGAGACCTTGGGATCTGTTGGTCACATCATTGGTACATTTTTTGAGGTCAACAATAACGTTAATTTGTGCTAATACCAAGTTTCTTGAATATTTTTTTAATTAAGTTCTTAGATTTCTCCACATCCAAAAACACTTGATTATATATGTTTAGACCCTTAAAAAAGAACTTTCTTGGTCCATCCCTGACACGAACCATCTTGTTACATGTTATTCGTATTTCTATAATCGTCGAACCATGATAAAGACCATATTCAATGAGTAAATGTGTAAATTAGGTTGTGTTTGGAAGTGATGCACATTGGACAGAGCGTGGTCTGGACAAACATTTTCATGTTCCAAATTTTCTAATTCCGAGTAGTCCGACTCATTTTTACAAAAAATAAAAATAAAAATAAAAAGTCGATTGAGTATTGTTATTAATCAAAACGTATCGTGTCTTACATTTCTTCTCCTAGCAAGCACAATCTTAAGTTGTTCTATTTGCTCTTCATTTCAAGTTTAATGAGACTATCTTGACAAGACTAGTCACTCTTGCAAAAAATTGAGAAAATTGTACCCATTGGGCCTTTTTGATTCATCATTGAGTAGCCATAAATTTCCATCAAATTTCTTAGTCTCCCATTGATTAGAGACCATTGATTCTTTGATTAGGTGGGACCCTTCAACTGTTCATAGTCTAATTATTATTCTTTGATTAGGTGGGACCCTTCAACTGTTCATAGTCTAATTATTATTCCAAAACTCTTTTTCATGCATACTCATTATCAACTATATATACACACAAGAAAATATTATACACGTAAATTCAAATTTTTTTTTTTTTACTTTTTAATTACACATTCTCCAAAATTAATTATTCAAAACATTATTTTATTCAAATAATTTCTACCAAACAAGGGCTAAGATTACAATTTTTGAGTGGATGGACTGGTTTCTGAGGCTAATATTAGAGCATAAATCATCCTAACATCATCTGATAAAGTCTATATGTAGTTCTTAACTCAATTAATTCTAACATTAACCGAATTATATCAAATTTTATATTGAATTTTGATTTAAGCTAAAAACTACTTAAAATTAAACTAAATGTGAATCATATTTTTTGGAGAAAAACTTGGATATGAAAAAGCACTAGAACTTGGACTCCACTTCCACTTAACCATTTCAATTCAAATAATCACGTAATCAACAATATTCATTTATAATGAAAATCATTCTGTCAAAAATATTAATAGTTTTCTTAAATAAAGTTAAATCTAATTCTACTTATGAACTTCTTACATTTTTATAAAAGATGCAAATAGTAAAAATGCATTTAGAACAACCAAATATCAATCAAAGATTGCGTAAATCATAGCGATACATTTTCAACCCTAACGAATTATGTTACTTATTATTTGTTCTAAACATGCATTTCATCTCTCAGTGTAGCTCATAAATCATTAAACTATTTTCCAATAATTGAAAGCAATAGAATCAATAATAAACAATCAATTATAAATTGACGTTTGAAGTCAAAAAGAAAATTGAACTAAAGCTTCAAAAGTGCAATTTATCTACGCATATTCAAATAAGTCAAACACGAAGTTTGTATTGAGAAAATAAAAGAGAAGAAAGGACACTTGTGGAGTCTACAACCCTGTTTGTCCGGTGGCCACGTGGTCCTGGACGAATAGCAAAACCCTAAAATTCCACACTTTTCTTCTCCGAGCTCCAAACCCTAGTCGCAAATTGTATTTTTATCTCCCAAAACTCTCCTAATTACATGTAATATGTCTCCTACATATAGTGTGTGGTCGAGCCTAAATCTAATAAGATATCAATTATATCCCTCGAATTTATGATCGAACATAAACTTGAGAACTTACTATTTAGACTTGGCAGGCGGCAAAAAAAAAATCGAAAAACTGATCAAATTGACCAAATCGGGTCGGTTTGGATAGGTTTGAACCAAAAGATCTGTTTGATTCGATTAATTTTAATCATTAAAAAGTTGGATTAGGTTAGTTGTGGTTTAAGCAACTAACCCGGTAATTAACTGATCGAACCCGCTAATACATTTTTTTTTTAATTTTTTTTCATTTTAAAATTCATATTTCAAACTTAGAAATAAAATAATAAAAAATAAATATAATTATTTTTCAAATAATTTATTTACCTTCCACACCTTTTCTACCAAAACTCCAAATTTCAAAGTGAATTTCAAATTTAGATTGTAACATTGTTTTTTATTTTGATATAATTGCTTATTGGTAACTATCGACTATATAGGATGATTTTAGAAAAAAGTCGACCACTTACATTATATATATATATATAATGTTTTAACCCAAAATAGGATGGTAGAATTTTTAACTCAAACAAATGTTCAAACCAACTAACCAAACCGATTTGGTTTGGTTTTGTTTCAAGAACTGGATTAGGTCTGTTTGGTTTGGAATTTACTCAAAACCGACCAAGTTGGTTTCAGGTTGAGCTCAAAACCAACCCAACCCGAACCATGCCCAAGCTTAGGCAGATCGATCCACTTTTACACTTTTACATTCATTGACAAAACTAAGCGCCTTTCTGCCCGATTTTGCTTCCCATTCATCAAACCCAATGGTTGTCTTTCTTTTTCTCTTACTACTCAAGAAATATGCTACAAAGGTATTAGAGAGCTCATCAAAACTTTTGATAGACTGGGGTGCCAGAGTAGTTATCCAATTTCTAGCCTCTCTCCTTGATGTCGATGGAAATGATCGACACATCATTATATCTGGGGCAGCATATAGTCTCATAAAATCGACGAAAGTCGGCAGGTGATAAATTAGATCTGTGACCCTGTCATACGCCTCTACATTGATTGTTTGAAGCCTTTTAGTGGAGGAACTGCCATGATCTTTGGTGCAAAGGGGTTTCCTTCCAAAATCACATGTTTGTGTAAGTGTTATGCCCTAGGTCCAATCAACTTTGGACATAAACACTTTGAATATATATAATCAATGCATATATATGGCAATATCTATTATTTAATTGAATTAATATTCTAATAAATTAAATAATAGAATCCGTAGATTCAAGTCTTGGTGATTTGTTAATCACAAGGAGTTGT